TTGGCATATCTTACCCATTTGGCAGCAGTGCTGTACATATATACAACACAGTTAACAAAATTAATTTCAAAATTCACATTTCCAGATCACTTAAACGTTCTCACATTTCCAGATTTATCTGGTTCTTTCGATTTTTCAAAGGTCTGCCAGGTGACCAGGTTTCCTTCCAAAACTGCCACATTTTATTCAATTTGCCAGACTTTTCACTTGGGAAAAATCTGACTGATCACTTAAAGTTTCTTGTTTTGTAAATAATTATTATAATTGTTACATAAAAAATACATAAAATTTAATACATAAAAAAATTTTTTGTGAGGCTGAAGCTGGGCATCAATTATTTTATTGTGAATTTAGATAGACAGCCACTGTCTTCTTGACTAACCGCATACTAATTTTGATATTGTTTGTAAAGTAAGGTGGATTTTGTTTTGTTCATAGTGGTGCTTAATTTTAAATTCAATTTCGTGTTTATAACTAACTGTGAATTGGAGGTTTAAAAAACCAAATAAGCTTTATTTTAAAAATAATAATTGAATAAAATAATTAATTTTTCTTTATTTGGAGCATCAGACAGAAAGAAAATCAGAATCAACAAAACCTATATTTTAAAAATAATTTGACTCAAATTTTTTTTTTTTTTTGAAAATTTAACCCTAATAAGAATAGTTTTTGATAAATGTAAGCTATACAACATAACAAATGTGTTTAAATTAAATATAATGCTGTTTTTTATCAGGTTTTATACAAGTTTTTTTTCTCTTTATTGCCAGGTTTTCCAACTTTTTTGACGTAATTTGCCAGATTTTCTATGAACTCAATATGTTAACATTGGTTCACCCTTTTATGGCAAATAAGTAATTAAAGTAATTTCAAACGCCATTTTATTATTAAAAAAAATTTAAATTTAATATACTACTACATATTGGGTCTACTACATTATTGGGTCAATTAAAAGTTTAAGTAAAAATTTACAACTGGTAGATTCTTTAATAAATAAAGAGTTGCACGCATTCTATTATAAACTAAAAAAACAAATAAAGGTACCCAAGGCCTTAATGAATATTAATCAGCTTTTTCTTATAAATCAAAACTATTTTCATCTTTTTTGTAAATAATTTCGTTAAGCCTGAATTTCTATTTTTTGTTTTTCTTGATATAGCCGAAAAATTACTGAAAAAGAACATTATTAGTAAAATTTAACAACTAAAGTAAAGCGCAAACACTATTGAGTTGAATAATGAAAAAGTAAGAGCAAAGAGAGAAAACATTCACACACAACACTGAGTAAAGTATAATTTTTTAACAAGTAGTTCGGTAATAATGTGGATATACCATTTTTGTTATAGATGGTATATTGTACTATACTTCCTCATTAATTAATTGGTTTTCACATACTTATTCATCCAAAAAAATGTATTTTATAAATAATTCATAGTAATATTTAATTTTTCTTACTGCATCCAACGATATCGCACAACAACAATTTTTTGACCAAATCTTCACTCTATAAATAGAAATATTAATAAAATAATTCACATTTAAAGAAAAATATATTTTTTGCATACAACTTTGGTAAAGCATCTCAAATTATATATATAAAAATATACAATATTCACATATGTTTGTATATATGGACAGAAACTTTCATTTCTCCTTTCAAAAGAAAACAACAATTTGAGACTATGCACATTTTTGCTTTTCCACCAAATTTTTTTCTTTTTTCCACCTTTCAAATTTTTTTTAAATATTTTTTAAAAACAATATAAATATTTTCAACACCTTTTTTTATTTTTCTTTCCGTTACTTCATTTATAAATCAAGCTTATTTAATAACTAAATCAAAAAACTTTTTGTGTTTACTATATATTCCAGCGGTCGAACTTTTCCAAGAACAAAAAACTAACATTTTACATTTAATATCAATTTCTAATTCGTTGTAACTACTCATAAAATAGATATACTTTGATTAAAAATTGAAAAAGGAGGAAACTGAAATAGAAAATATCAAACAGATGCAATGGTAAAATGAGAGAAAATTGACAGATCGGCAATACAAGTAATCCTTTTTTCACATCGATTTTTTGTTTTATAGTAAAAATTTATAGAATTTTCTGAATTTTTTTCAGTATGGTAATTGTTTTCCCTCCTAGACGTATGCAATAAGAGTAAGTACTAAAATTACTTATTTGCAAGTTAAAAAGGCGAGTCTTCATGCATGAATATTTATTCAAATTAAAACAATATAAATACATAGGATAGAACATGAATATTTGATTTTGAGATTTTATACATAATACGTGCGTATAAGTACACAAAAATATAAATTTAAGTACACATGCACGTGAAATTATTTTCACATAATATCATTTCATATACAAATGTGACTGATTTATTGTGTGAAGGTACATTTATGTGCTTAATGTATACTTGAACATTATTTGAATTTAACTAATCTTAGTTTACATACATACAATGTATATTTTTTGATACCCACAAAAACGAACACTGAGAAAAATTTTACCTAAATTAAAGATTTTTTATAAACAGAACAGACACAAACTATATCTGAAATCACGACAACCACACTTCAAAGCTATTTTTCACATTAATGTATTTCCTATCCCTTTAGTTTTATTTTGAATATAACTCAACTTATATTCAAAATATAAAAATAAATAGAGTTTTAGAAATATAGTCTTTTCAAATTAGCTATATTTTTTAGCCGTTTATGAAAATAAATCATCTAGCTAGAATAAAAACAAAATTCTGAATGAGCTACAATAATTTTGTACATATTTTGTAGCCAAGTTGAAAATATTTTTCGAGGAATTGAGAAATATTTATAGTTATATTATAAATATACTATTTCTCATTTGGTAATTTTCTTATTTGAATACCGATAAACTTATGCCCATCAAAATATTTTTTATTCAGCTACCTTTTTTTTTTAAAACAAAAAAGTTCTATTGCCAAAGAGCTATCTTTATTACAACATTCATATATCAAAATTGAATTATCTACGAAATTGCTATACACTATATCCCTTTTAGTTTTATGTTATCCATATAATTGAAATAATTTTAGCGCGTTTGGCTACAAGCAGTATTGAAAAATGTTTATGTTAAAGATAAAAATCATTTCTACTCTGAGTAAAAATATTATGAGATATGAAATATTTTATTTTCAAAGTAGAAATATGACCTTCGAAATAGTTTATAATCACTTTAAATATGCGTTTTTTTCAGTGAACATACAATTAATAGCTTGTATTTGAAAGATATCATTAATTCTACTAATTCGTTTATAATACTGCCTAAATAAATTACACCATATGGAATAATGTTTTATTATAGCCTTGTACTTCAGTTTTTGAGCAGTTTTCCAAAACCAGTTTACTGTCAGTGCACCAACTAGCAAATGGGCGCATTGACAGAGAACTGACTAAGTTCATTCTAGTATACGCTAGTATATAGTCGTCTTCTTTACATTACTCCTGCATATGGTCAATATTTCACAATGATGCGACATGTGCGAGAAGCCGATCCTTCGCGCATGCTTCTATATTCGCAAATTTGTTTAATGAGGGGAGGTGCACATTAGATTGCAGATTTTTAAGGAAACCGAGTGAGGCAATTCAAGTGCAAAACTGGAGATATACCTATGGCAGTTGGGCAGCATTTCCCGAACGATTAGGGAACCCTGTCCAAAACAATCGTGATGTCGGCAGCCAGTACCGGGCAGTCGCAAAGAATATGCGCGGTGGTTTTGTCAACTCGCTCACAAAATTTGCACAGGAAGGAGTCCGATTTCCCCAGTCTGTGCAGGTGACTTATTGAAATTCGCAATAACATATACGCGGTTTCTTTCATCCTCAACCACTCCGCGGTGAATGCTTTCTACAATAAAATATAGATTAAAATAATTTTATAAATTTTATATATCTTACAACATGAACCTAAAAGTTGCATGCATCAACTTCATATATTTTTTTGCTTTGTTTTCAATTTTTGTTTTTTTTTTTTTTAATGAAGGTGAACCAGTTTTACTTCTTTTTGTTGTTTCTTTAAAAGTGAGAAAAGGTAAGATAATAGAGGTTATTATACGAAATTCTCTTATTGTAAGTTATGTATACAGTTATGAACAAATAAATTAACGCAGTATATTAAAAACAAAAACTTCATTAAAAATAATGTTCAATAATATGAATAATTTTCATATTCCTTACTAACATCAAACTAAACATCAAACATTAATTATTAACATCAAACTAAATTTCAGTTAGATAGGCAAGTTGTTGGCCAGGCACTGGGTTTCACACAAATATTTTTACTCTTACATGAAACAATCCGACTTAACAATTGTGTTAGCTAGATATTCAAGTGAGATCCTCTGGTCTGAATTTAATTTAAGCTACTATATTCGTCTTCTTTCAAAAATGATTTTAAACTCTAGATTATTCTGTTAAGATATTTAAAAAAAAACTCTAATTTCAATGACCTTATCATAGCCGCCCATTGCTGCCAATTCATGAAGAAATTTTATTTTACTGTTGATTATCAATTCCGAGAGTGTATACCTTACTTTCGTATTCAGCGTGTAGCTGGCATACGATATTGCTTAAAAAATTTTTTTTGAAATAAATTGGACTTAAATAGTTCTACTCTAAAGAGGCGGAATTTTTGCCAAATTTTGGCGATTTTGGTGGAATACAAAAGCTAAAAATTATGTATTTTTCGAGTGTTTCGAATAAAATGGCATTTTGATTCGAGAATTGGATAAACTGAGAGTGAATATTTTGAAAAATTGGCACAAATATTATTTGTCCATTACTGTACTAATATTAAAGTACATTTTTTTATAATATGCATAAAATGTAGAAGGTAGATATTAGTTTTTGTATTATGAGTGCATAAATATAAAGTTAAATACCAGTTTTTTAACAAAGATAAGATTCATTTTTGTTGTTGCTTAACAAGGTTAGTTTTTATAATAAAATGTCATAGTGACAAGTTTTATCATATACTATAAAAACACTGGTTTTTCAGTACAGTAGAGATTACCAAGCGATATCTATATATGCACACACATGGGCTTATACATATATTATATTATGTGACTTTCATAATAAATTAAATTTGAAAAGTTTTTTTTCAAGTATATTGTAATTAAAACAATTTTTTAAAGTGGTTTTTCTATTTTTAAATATAAAACAATTTTCAAAAAGGTTCTAATTTATTAATTATTTTTGCAAATTCGTAGTGTTTATTGTGATAATTTAATTAAACATTTTGTTGTTGCTTTGTTGGATTATATTTTGTATACATCGCAATAATATCAATTTTCATCTAATTAATAAATTTATTATTACCCTCAGTTTATAGTACCTTTGAATTTTGTTATTAAAAAAAACAACAAAAATGTGAGGTAATTTTATTTTATAATATTAATTTAATAAAGAATATATTACGTTCATCAAATCTATTAACATATATATGTATACATATACATATATATATATATATATATATATATATACATAAATATATGTATATAATGTAACGATATAATCAACGCCGGCCCTTCAGTTTTACTATGTTTATTGGATTAATCACATTTTTTAAATTATTTTGTCTCAATATAAGAATTTACGACCATACACAAAGAATATGGAGAAAACAAGAAAAAAAAGGAACTGTGTCTAACACGTTATTAAGTAAAAAAATTTTGTAGGCTGTCTCTTGAGCTGCGCTTTTGTCAAATCACGAAATTATAAATATATTCTTTCTCAAGAATGAATGTATTTCAAAAAATTCAATTTTTCACAATCGCTCACTTTTCTCTCTAATAGTGAAACGTCTATGATTCCATATGGATTTACGAAAATTAAACTAATTACCGTAAAAACGAATTCTTATGAGAGAAATCTTATCATATTGACAATTGATATGTGCATGCATATACATTCAAAAAAATTATTTGCATATTTATTTTAAATTTAACGCATGCTTACAATTTATAAAAAGTGTTTTTACATCAAATTTTAAACTTAAAAATATGATAGATATAGAATCAATATGTATATATATAAATAAAGGAGAGGATTAAGGGACTGATTTAGAACTTTGTGAAACAATTAAAATTAATATGTCTGAAAGAATGAAATTTTATCAAGTTCAGATTTAATGTTGTAAAGTTACACAGTTGTATGCTCTTTATACGCGCATGTACAAACAAACCCGGTTAAAAAAAGAGCAAACATTTCAATTTTATAATAGTCGAAATATAGAAAGTTAATTAATCTTGCATATGCGTATTTCACATTTTACAATTTCTATGTGTATAACGTTTTTAAATATAAACAGTAAAAACTGACAAAAATGGTACTTTTCCAAAATGTTTCCTATTGTATCTTGAAAGTATATACATATGAGAAATTTCCATTTTTAATGTAATTTTGACTTATATAATTATACCGATATATTGTGATTTCACTTAAAAATCCGCATTCATTCCACATATGTGATGTGCGTGATAATTGTGAATTCTCTGCAAAATGCAAAAATCCCAAGTCCATTCCTTCCAAAGAAAAATTTTAAACAATATCCTATGCCAGTCGCTCGCTGCATTATAAATAGTTCGGTTTAAAGCAGAACTATCCCAAGTCCGCTTCTGTAAAAAAAATTTTTAATCAATATCTTATGTGAATTGCTGAACAACTTAAAAATCAAAGTTTAAAGCAAAAATCAATCGCTCATCCACAAAGAGAGTGTATACCTCGTGTATGCACTATAAGCAGCTAAGGGTTTAAAAATCATAGTTTAGAGCAGAACTTTCCCAAGTCTATTTGCCTCAAAAACAAAATGTAAGCAATATTCTATGTCAGTTGTTTGCTGAACGTGTGAGTGTATAACTCGTTGGTGCACTGTAAGTAGAGTTCCGCTTTAAAATTGTTTTGTTCACGAGACTTATATTTGGTATTTATTTTTTTTTATGCATGTATATATTTTTATTTTTTGCTTAAATTTTTTTTTATATATAAATAAAAGTCAAACACTATGTTTCTAAATTAATTTTTTTAATCTCATTTAATCAAAACCAAAATTACAATCAGACTAAATTTAAATTTTCCTTTTTTACAATACAATACCAAAGAATTTAAACAAAAATTTATTTAAAATTGAAATTAAAAACTGACCGGATACAAAATGCTTCATCATCATTATTTCACAATCGAGTTTTCGATTCGAACTTGTTTTTGAGGTTTTCACCGACCATTATACAGTAATTATGTATGTGATGGCAACAAATTTTGCATATCGAGTTTTCGGTTGAAACGCACTTCTTCATAGTAGGGAAATGTAAATAAAATATTTTTAGAGAGACGTCTCTATAAAAATAGTTTATTTTTAGAGGGAATAGTTTATAAATCGAGAGATGTCTGGGTCTGTCGATCTGTCTGTCTGTGTGTGCACGCGTGTATCTCAGGATCGGCTGAACCGATTTCGGTGAAATTACATGTGAGTTTATTTTGGTCATGACACGGATTGATCAACTGTTGTGATATATCTGATCTCAGGAACTGGACTTTTTTGCGGGCCGATTTTACATTTTTGCTATTTTACATCTTGAAATTTCATATATAAATTCGGGATGTTAAGACAATGTAGAACCCGAGCTGGGGGCTGATTTTACAATTTTCACTACATCTATGGAGCGGATTCATGGAATTTCTTGAAATTTGATATTTGAGTTCTAGTTCTTACCTAGAACTGGTGATTCGTGTGGAATAAAGCGAAATTTTACTAAAGGCCAAATTTACATTTTTCTAGCTATGTTAACTAAAAGCTTACTAAAGTTTCCTCCTGAAAAATTGTAAAGAAGTGTTTCAAATGCATTTTCATAATCCTCTGCATCACATTCACTAGACTGTGATGTGCTGATCACATCAGATTTTTTTTATTTTTTATTCAAAATGCATTCAATTTTTTTAATATTTAGCAAATCGTAACGGTACCCTAGTATTGAAAAATATACTTTTTTATTAGTTGTAATTTTTTTTTGAAATATAATATACAAGAAATTATGTAGTTTGTAAATAAAATTAATATAGGACATACATATTTATATAATTCCTACAATTTATACATACATAACCCGCATAATAACCCTACATTCACATATTTATGTCAACTTAGGACTGTCATCCAAAACTAATACCAGTTTTTTTTGTCATTTAAAATGGTTAAAATTGCAACGTTCAATTTACTCTCTTGAACAATTTGCAAATTGTGAATTTTTGATAGTTTTGCTCTAGAAAGGCGATAACATTCATAATGTTTCCAATTATTGAAATGCTACTGTATATATGGAAATGTTTATCAAATGTTCGGCATGAGGACATCATTCAGGCGCATAGTTATTGAAAACTTTAAAATAGAATTGTTCTTATTTATATATACTTAATAAATAATATATAAATTGTGATAACGGGTGCAAAAACTGACTCTATTCACTGTATATGAGTAAAATAAAAAAAATTATAAAGATATATGTATATATCTGTTAAAATCCTCAAATTATAACATTATTTAACTGTCCAATCATGTTTAATAATTTAACAAAACAAATTTACATTCAATTCACATTAAATATTTGAGTTAAAGTATGTAAATAAAGTAAGCTTTAAAAATTCTAACATAAATATTTTAATTCATTTAATTTTCCTGTGTTGAAAATAAAAAAATTTTTTTTAGTTTTTATAATATTGTGATATTTGCAATGAAATCTAACTTTGCCTATTTTCACATATTAAATACATTCGCATTTTTGAAATTCTTTTTAACATTTTTATTAATTTCTTATGACTTTGAGCTCGATATATTCTTAAAATAAATAAATAAGTTAGAATTTTATATAAAAGATTTAGAAAAAGTGCATTTATTCTTCAAATAAAATCAATTATATATGTATAGTGTGTAGCACGAGAGAATAATTTGCATACAAATGTATATAACTATATGTATATACATATCACGTCACTCATATTAAATTTGCCTCTCTTCCGAGATATTATGATTAAAGAAAATGTTTAATCAGTAAAAAGTTTATACTACCAAATCATATAATGAATTAGAAAAAAAAGTAGTTTAAATAGTTCTGATTTAAGGTAAAAATGTATTAAAATTTGTCACGCCACCCCCTAGCACAAACTTTAGACAAAATAATTAAACATATAAAACATGAGAAAAGATAATAATTAAATAACTATATTTTTATTACAGCTCATGCAAAAAAGAATGCGCAAATCTTCTACTTATGCTCATCATTACAAAATCCAAATGCTCAATATTGAAATTTTTAAATCAAAAAATTTAAAAAAAAAAATCATTTAAGCAAGCGAAATAAAAATACTCAAAACAAAAAATATTTTTGATAAAAAAAATTTAATAGTTTAATTAAAAAATATTTTACTAAGGCGGCCTAGCTCTTAATGTAAAATTGTATATACTTAGAAATAATAATTAAAAAACACAAAATTGAATGTCAATAATTTTTTTTAAATTATAAAAATGAATGCTACATCAACAGGAACAACAATTAAAGATGATCAAATTAAGAATGAAATTGAAAATAATGAAGAAATATTATTGAATTTATTCAAAATAAATAGAAAAAGTCACCGTGTTCTATTAGATTCCAAAAGAATTATTTGGAAAAAAAAAGAAAAGGATGATAATGGTGGTAAGTAATTTCAAAAATTTTTATTGTTTGATAGTATTCGATATTATATAAAAATTGCAGTGATACTAGACTACATTCAGGTACATTAGTCGTCATTCAGGACAAAATTCTTCTTCCATCGCCATTCCTCAACGGTTGAAAATTGTTTTTTTTTTTTTAATAAAAGAAAAATGCTATAACTTATGCAAAAAGCAAAAATAAATTTAAAATCATTCGCCATTGTTACTTCTTTTCAATTGCGTATAATGCAATCAACATTTTTGGTGTTAAGAGACATTACTTGTCTACTTTTTTGCAAAGCAGTATAGTTTTTCCTCAGATTTTAGTCTGAGAATATGAATTTTACAGAACTATGTAAATTCTGCGCTTGGGAATACTTCTGCTTATTGGGATATTTTAAAGCAATCCAATTTCTATACATATATAATTTTTTTTATACACATACATTATATATATAATAAAATTTTCATTCCAGAAAATAATGAAATTCCAATTTGTGATATAATAGCAGTTAGTCATTCTATTGAAAAACATTTTGTTAAATGTTTAAGAAAAAATAATTCTAATACAAATTATGATAATAATAGTACCAGCAGAAATAATAATATAGTAAATATATCTGAAAATGCAGAAACAAATTTATTAGATGATAACAATAAAACTCAATTAAATAAGGAAATATTACAAAATAATACAAGAAATACCAATAACATAATATCAAATAATACTGATATAACAAAATCAAGTAATTTGGCAGAGGTATCATCATCAAAAACAGGACCAACAACAACAGAAATAACAAAAGTACCAAATAAAATTAAATTAAATCAACCATCAACATCAACTATAAATAATACATTATTAACATCTTCAACAGAAATAACAAACATAACAACGATAACGCCACATAATAATTCTAATTATACTAATGACAATAATTATAATAGTAAATATTTAATAATTAATTATGCTAAAAGATTAAAAAATTCAAAAAAAAATTATAATAAATGGTATTGTAAAACAGTCACATTATATAATAATAATACAAATATAATAATAAAATGGTACAATACAATTAATAATTTGTTAAAAAAATTAAAACATCCAAAAAATATTTTATTATTTATAAATCCGTATGGTGGTAAAAAAAATGGTATTAAGATATATAATAATATATGTAAACCATTATTTAAATTAGCCAATATTAATATTATATTAATAATTAGTCAAAAATCGAAACAAATTTATGATATTATAATGGAACAATCAATTAATCAATATGATGCAATTTGTTGTATTGGTGGTGATGGTACAATATCTGAATTATTTAATGGTTTAATATATCGTGCAATGAAAGATTTACATATTAATATTAATAAACCAGAATATATACCAAAACCAAAAATACCCATTGGTATAATACCAGGTGGTAGCACAAATACAATTGTATATAGTTTACATGGTACATGTGATATTATAACATCAACAATACATATAATATTAGGACAGAAACGTGGTCTTGATTTAGCTAGCGTATATAATATAAATGGTTTAATAAAGTTTTACGCAAGTGTTATTAGTTATGGCTATTTAGGAGATATAGCATTAGATAGTGAAAATTATCGTTGGATGGGACCAAAACGTTATGATTATTCAGGTAAATATGCAATTTTTATTTTGCAAGAATGTTAAATTAAATAGTTATTCGCAAATATATTTTATTTAATGTTAATGGTGTTCCAATATTATGAAATATACAACTTTTTTTTTGTTTTTATTATTTTAGGTATCAAAAAATTTTTTAAAAATCATGGTTATTATGGTGATATAACATTCCTAACATCAGATATTCAAGTAAATGAAAACGTATCAAAAAATTTTCAAAATGAAGTTACAGAAAAAACTATTTTTAATCATAATGATGATAATAATGATAATGAAAATAATATAGAGAAAATTGAAGAAAATTCAATTCAAAATGATAAACCAAATACAGAATTAATTAACAATAAAAATGATTTTAAAAATAGTAATTACAATAATATTTTATATGATAATGAAATTTCAACAACAAAATGTTATGTTAATTGTTTAAAATGTACAAATTCATTAATAAATTTGTTATCATCAACTTCATCATCATCATCACCATCGTCATCATCGCCAGAATTATTATCATCTTCAATGACGGAAACAAAACAATTACAACATCAAAAATATAAACAATCAAATAGTACAATACAAGGAACAAATAATACAATAACAAATCAATTAAATATTAATAATGAACTGAATGATAATATTAACTGTGATAATAATATAATTATATCTAAATTAAATAGTAATACAGATAATAACAATATTGAAAATCAAAAAATTAATAATGTTAATAATAATGATAATTTTTTTAATGAAATTTTATTTAATTTATTAAGTAATACTGAAAATGATACTATATTAAATGAAAATGAATTTAATAATATTAATTATATTAATGATAACAATTGTGATAATGATATTAATAATAAAAATAAAATTTATAATAATAAGGGTTATGTAAATGACAATAATGAAAATGAAGAAGTAGAAAAAGAAGAAAATATAATATTAAACAATGATAAAAGTGATAATAATTTCAATAGCAATAAAAATAAAAAAACACAAGAACAAAAAGAAGATGAAAAACATGAATTAAAACAGGAAAAATTACAAATATCTTCAACATCATCATCATCTATATCAACGTTGCCATCATCTACAATGTTATCAACGGCAATTGTATCAAAAACAGCATCAACATCAGTATCAATAACAACACAATTAATGGAATCACCATCATCACCATCATCAACATCAATTAATAATAAAAAATCAACAATGAAATTGAATGGAAAGAAATTATATTTAAATAATATTAAAGGAAATTTCTTTTTAATTAGTTGCGCTAATATATCATGTTTGTGTGATCGTAGTCCAAATGGTTGGTCACAATTTAGTCATTTAGGTGATGGCTATTTAGATATTATATTAGTAAGACATACAACATTTTTAAATAATTTAAAATTATTGATGGCAATGACGAAAAAAAATGGTAATATTGTAAGTATATACAATTTTTTCAAACTCTTCATAAAATCATAGCAATTTTTTTTTTCTTTTTCACGAACAGAATAATTTACCATTTGTTAAATTATATAGAACGAAAAAATTTTTATTTCGTGCAAAAAAACGGGATCCAATAAATCGAAATTCAATTAAAACTAGCCAATGGAATTGTGATGGTGAGGTTGTACATGATACTGATTTAATTATCAGGTAAATAAATAAATAGGAGCTTTCTAATATTGGGAATTTTTGTGATACCAAATTTGCAGTAATATGTACAGTGTTTTGTTATACGAAGTTTTAGGGTAATTACTACAACAAGCTATAGCTTAATTATGGTGTATAATAATAAAATACAATATTACTGTAATTTGGAAGTTAGAATTTGGTAATAAGCTAACAGTGCTAGTTATAAAACTACCTTAAAAAATTTCTTAAAATGCAATTTTATTTTTCAAAATATTGAAAAAATTGAAAATTGATTTGAAATTTGTTCAAAATACTCGAAATTTTGAAAAATTAATTATTTATATATATATATATATAATATAACTTATATATATATATATATATATATACATATAACATATATATATATATTTTTTCTTTTTTAATTTCAGTTCACATTGTCAATTAATCGATGTTTTTATGAGAGGTCCATATCCGAAAGAAACCTCAGATGAAAGGACAGTGAAATGTTGTGAATTTTAATTTTTTCTCAATAAGATTTTTAATTGACTGTACTATGTATTGTAGTTGACTATGAATTATTATAATTTTTTTTTTATTACAAAACTTACTCAAACAAACAAATGAAATATGCAGTAGTATGTAAGATATTTTTTATATTCTTGGCTCAAAAAATTAAACTTCATTTTATTCTAATCCCATGCTGAATACCCCTAATATGCATGGTGGTACAAGTTGGTAATTATTGTAAGTATTTAATTTGAATGATACGATATAAATGTAGTATATGTTTGTTGTCTCGTTTGGAAAAATAATGTAATATGTTCTGATTATTCTGATTAATGTAATATGTTCTGATTGTTTATATATGTAATGTCCATCCAGTATAAGAAATAACAAATCATTTTGATTTCCATTATTCTAGTATTTCTAAGTTTGATTAATATTAGAAATTATTTAATTAAATTATGGAATTCATTGTGATAATTTGCTCTTTCTATATTTTATTATATATATATTAAAAGCTTCACAAAAAATATTAAAAATCCAATTAGTACTATTTATAATAAGGAATGGTTATTACAATGTATTGACATTTTAAAAAATTTACTATTACAGAGAAAGCATCTAAAGAAATAATTTTTACTTGTAATTTGATTTTATTCTTAAATATAAATGGATTGCAAAATCAATTTAATATTACTGTAGGATTTTTTTTTTAAATTCATGATGGATTTTTGAATCTAAACAGTGGTTTTCAGTGACGTCTGAAAATACAACCAGTGTCTCTCCGCATCCGTAAAAATTTTGCTTTGGTACAATATTCTCAGATGCTTCCCTCTGTATAAACGTACGTTTTTTTTTACGTTTGTAATTTTGCTCCTACATTATCTTATATAAAATCAACAACAGGTGGTGTTTTATTTTAATGTTAAAATTTTATTCTATTGTATTATCAACCCGTATTATTATATTACTACTAAAAATATAATAAAAACAAAATAAAAAGAAAATTGTGTTAATGGTTGAATATAAGTACAAATTTATTTTGAATAAAATTCATAGTGAAAAAAAAATTGTAATCTATGTTGTTTAAATTCTATAATCGGTTATATTTCGAATTACATTACTGGTAGATAGGTAACTACTATATCTACCTACTATTTATTACTAAAATCAAAATCCTCTAACACTTACTAAACCTCCACCATTTACTTTTCGTTTCTCATTAAATGATGACGATTTTACTGGACAATCTGAAAGCCTTATTTTGTGCATCTAAATGATGATTATTTTTGCTTTTTTGTGTAATATTAATTTGCATGATAATGGATAAGCAATTCGTCTCATATAAAAATAACCAAAGTATTTAAAAAATAATATTGTGCAACAGCTTAATTGCACGACTTTAATAATGTAAACATATTAAAAATTATATTACATTTAAAATTACGTTAGTGAAATAAAAGCGGTATTGTAGTACTTGAAAATGATTTTATAAAATAAGTTGGTGTAAACCTGTGTGAAAATTTTTTTTAATACAATTTTTGTTGATACCATCTAATAATAGTGTGGTATCTTTATCCAAATTAAACATGTATTTTTGAATTATGTATCTATCCATAAACATATTCTGAACGGCAGCAGAATGACTTTGGATATTTGGAATCCTGGTTATATTCAAATGAAGGTTTTATGAACATAAATTATTTCTTTAAATTTTTTATTTATTTAAGTTCAAATTCAATAGCTTCAGCTTACTCAGTTGTTCTATAAGAGCAACATCCGTAAGTGAACCAGTTTTTTTTGCTTTAGTAATCTAAAATTGTAATTAATATTTTAACCAATCATTTATGAATATATACATATATATAATATGTATGTAAATTTATATTTGCGTTAATCTATCTATGTGTGCATGTACATATACCAAATTGTGGTTAAAGTTTTAATTACGTTAATAACATTTTGTTTTTAATATTTTTTTTTTTTTGTTATGTATAAATTGTGGATTTTATATGTTTGGAATTATTCTTGGCATTACGAAAATATCAAGACTTGGATCCTGCTTTTTTTGCGAATGCATCTGTTGCATTCACAAGTTGCATATGTATTTTGACGACATGACTTTTCTAAGAAATTTTTTTTTGTTGTTTTTTCTTTTAAAAAATTATTTTTGCCTATTTTAATATTTAGTTTTATTTGTGAAAACTTGAATAAAACCTAAAAATTTCTATAATAAAATTAAATTTAAACTTTTCTGAATAATATATCAAAAATTCGAATTTCAACTCAAAATTGTAACTACAATTTTGATTAAATATAAGGTCTAGGATAAAATTTGAAAAAACTTTAGGGGCCTGATCATCTATCTCGCTATTTTACTCGATAAGTGAGAGGAAAGTGAGTAATTATTATATGTTTGATAATGTAGTTTTAGAGTGAGAAGAATTTTTGGTATTGCGTATCTTGTCTTTTTTTAAAGTGTATACAAAATTTATTCACTTTGTTTTTGTCACTTTGAAGTGAGACATTCAGTCGATAATTTGAGAAAAAATACGAAAATCCTATTGAAAAAATGAGTAACCTTATTGCAAAAATATTTTTTTTTATAAGTATTTTATATTAAACTATACTTATATTGAATATCATTTTACAGTGACCTGCCCGGGGTTTGAACCGAGACCTTTCGGTTAAGGGACCCTAATCACTGCATCAATGGTCTCACCATTATATTTTATTATTTATATTATATTATATTTTTTAAGTTACGTACATACATATGTGATTAGGTGATGTGATTATCTTTTTTCGTTTTGTATTTTCTTTTAGTTTTTCTAAACTAAAATTTTACTAATACACTCTAATTTAAAGGGGTTAATTATATATTTATATTATTGTAATTATATATTATTTGAAATATAAAGTACTTATTGTAAATAAATGAATATTTTCATAAAAAAAATATAGAGACGCAAATTAATATAATTAATAAAAACACTAATGAAAACATAATTAGCATATTTATATCAAATCAGAGAAAAATCAGTTCAATATGTTTTACTTTTTTTGCCTGTAGTGTAGCGAATTTTAGCGGAATCTTAAATAAATTAATGGAGTCTGGAAGATTTTTTTTAAATCAATTTTTTAATGTTTTTATAACACAAAACTATAAGAATATTAGCACTAATAAAATAGAAAAAGATTGAATTTTAACTTTTTCAACTAGAAATTTGAAAAATATTGAGATTCTAAGAGATTTATCGTTTTAAAAAGAGCTCTCTATATCTTCTATAAGAATGCGTGTAAATTCGTCACCTGTGAAATGTAGCTCTTTCTTAGATCCGCGCTTGTATTTCTGTCAGCCGTGATATTATTACATATTTTGTTTTGTTTTTCAAAATACACACACATTCATATCTGTACACTCATATTTTGCATGACAAATACGAAATAGAAATGTAGATGTAGATATAAATATGAAAGTTATTTGAAAGTATATGTACCTATACTGTTATAAATTGTACATTTACATGTATATGAAGATTATTGAGTATAGTATTGTACTAGCAATTACATATATACTAGTAATAAGGAAAAATAAGAACAAAAACATAAGGAAAAAAACGAAAAATATAATTTAGTTTAAATGTCAAAAATTTTAAATAGAAAAATTTTACTAAAAGTTTACAAAACAAATTTACCAAAAATTTAAAAAATTAATACAAAAAATAAGTTATTAAAATTATACAAATTAATTTATAAAAAAAACATTTTTTTAATTTTAATTTTATAAAAGTGTAAAAAAGAAAGTCCTAAAATGTGCATACAATCGTAGCTTTTTAATAAAAAAAAAATAGGGGAGTGAAAAGGAGAGAAAATTTTTTTTCTTTTTCTTTGGTAGGAATTTTACAAATTAAAATTTTCTTAGTAGGTAATTACATAGATAATGGAAAAAATAAGTAAATATTTGAATTAAAATATTAATTTGAGAAAAAAAAATGTATATGCATAAATTTAAAAAGCGAAAATAAAAATGTGTAACAAAAAAAAGCAAAAAGAAAAAATCAAATGAACAAAAATCGGAAACCCTAAAATTTTTTCTGTGTATATGAGTTAATGTGCAACATTGGTTTATACAAATGTATATGTTTTGCTATACAAGCGTATATACATATACATATATTTATGTACATATGCACACATCTATATTCAGTAATATTGTTGGAAAATTTGGGATCGGACTCGACTGGAAAAATTCTATATTTTGTTTTTGGGATCAAAATAAAATAAGTTCCAATACTATTGTAACACAATTATTTAAATACTGCTGGCAGACTGTATAAGGAAAATCTAAATAAAAACAAAAAAGAACAATTACCCCATTTTTTTCTCAATTTGTTTAATCAATAATTGGAAAAATGACCACAACTGTCAAAATCTTTTATTTGATTCAAAGCAACAAAACAGTTATGTGAATTCAACTTACAAATTTCCTTATTTCTTGGTCTTCCTTAAAAAAAATAGTGAAAATCACTCGGAAAGATTGTTGTGTTTTAAAATTTTCAAATTGTCATACTAAAAACAAAAATTTAGGGATTTTTAGGTTTTAACCAAATAAGTATAGTAAAATTTAATTAAATAATAACCAAATAGCGGTACTAAAATATTTTATTAATTATATTATTTAACAGAACAGAACTATTATTTCAAAAATTAGAAATTTCTGTAACTCGAACTACAAATAGTCCTTATACCCTTGCAAATTTAAAGGGGTTTGACTGTATTTTTGACCGTTGTTAACCCAGAACAAGAGTGGAACGGCAAAATCGATTGAGTAGTTTTTTTCGTCACACATACATGGAAACAAATAATTTGAAAAACTTAAGTTATTTCATCGCCGTCGGTGGAATTCGCGCCGGTAATTTTGCTTGAATCTGGGCAGTGCATTATATATGAATTCTGACATTTTGCAGCAGAAAATCAATCTTGTCCCTTTTTCAACTTTAATAAAATTTTATTTATAAAAGTATAAATTTTAATTTTATGTCCCTTTTATAATATAAATACTTTACTTTGTTAGTATTGTAAATACGTCCTAATATTTATATATACCATTTTACAAATGCTATAAAGTATAAATGAGGGGCTCAGAAGCAAAGTAGTCTAACCCTCACTCCCAAAATAAATAATATTCACGTGGATATGGTGGAAAACATTCATTTGTTTTTTTCAAACACATTGGAATTTTTTTTTTTTTTCCATAAAAAATTTTTTCTTATTTCCACATGTTCTTTTTTCATAAGTTTTTATAAAATAACAGTCTTTTTTTAAAAATTTTGTTTTTTAAATATTTTCTAATTTTTCATTCACAGAGTGTATTAACTATAAAAAAAATTTCAAAATTTTCTTTGTTTGCTATTTATTCCAGTCCTGTTTTCTTTTCCAAGGAAAGAAAGCAACTTTTGCATTTAATGTAAATTTCAATTTGACAAAGCTTGGAACAGAAAAAGAGACCTGAAGTTTTTGGCTTCACTGATTTGTTTTTCATGATATGCTTCCTTTAGTATTTCTAATTTTTTGATAAATAATTTTGATTGTGAATTGTTGAAATGTTTTTTTTTTGTATGCGAATTTATTATATTTTATATTGTGAATTGTTTTATCTATTTTTAATATTAATTACTACAACACTACACAGAAATTCAAATTGCATTTTTTTCATGTATTTTCTCTTAGTGCAATGATGTTTACACATTGAACATTTTTCCCTATCACCAAAATTGAATATGTAAACAAATTTCGTTGGTTTCGTTGCATAAAACAAATAACTTAAAAAAAGGCAGTGTACAAAACTTTTGACAACTTGTTGTGATGTCAAATGACACCATACTGAAAAATTATATGAAAGTAGTTCTACAACATATTGAAAGAAAAACTGCAAGCATCGTAATTTTATGTTATTATATTAGTTAATTTCTTTTTATTAATTTTGTTTTTAACATTTTTGAATGAAACATCTAAAAATTTTAAATTTTAATGTCACTAGACTATTACAAAAAAATATTTTTTCGCATTTTAGTTTATCACAAAAAGTATCATTAGGGTTTTGTAGCTGTCATTCTGAAAGTTGATCAAGCCTTCTAAATGTGGATTTTCACAAATTTCATTCTTTAAATTAATTTCTTTTATAATATAACCAGCAATATATCCATATTAGTTTGTGTGATATCCATAATCGCCCTTAAATTTGAGGAAAATATAATTACTTTGAAATAATTTAAAACGGAAATACACAAATAATGATTGGTATACTTATTCAATTGTAGGTCAGAATTAAATACAAAACCATTCCGGTTTACGATTATAGCAAAATTCATACACTATGCCAAATTTGTTTCGCTTGTCTTTTCTCGACTTGGTCTCTTTCCAATTTTATTTTTATGGGTCTACATTTTTCATCTATAGCCTTGCAAATTTCGGTTATAATAAGTGAAATTGTTTGCTGAGCAATTGTATGCTGCCAGTTTAAATTTTTTACGGTGCGATTTTGCTACATAGTTACCAAACCAATTTCGAATCGCAAATCAAATTACGGAAATTTGCGACTTTCGCATTTTTCATAAAATGCTACGCTGTTACTATTTATAATGTAAGCTTTCAGCCACGTTGCTCATAATATTACATTGTTGGGAAGCTTAAAAGCTTAATTTATTTTTCTGCTCTCATAATTCTTTCAGCTTTTTATTTTAAAATGTCTCTTAATAAATTGTGATACTTTTAGTACTTAATAAAGCGTAATACAATAGGCTTACATAACTTTTAAAACTTCATTTTTAATTGTTTTTAAAAAAAATTTTACACTTTATTTTAACAATTCTACCAAACAAATTGATTCGAATGTGTCCATTAACGTGACTTCAAAAAGCTCTCAATTTTACAGCTTATTTTGTATATTGCCTTTTTTATGTATACGGTGGTGGAAAGTTACGTATTCAGTACGGTTTTTATATAGATAGATGACAGAAGAATTTCTTGCTGCTAGTGGAAACGTCATATGAACATAATAAAATTCTTACTAACTTTAGTTGGATTCATTGGTTCATCGTTTTTGAGCTGAAGTATTTAAAGTCGAACTACTTTTTCTCTTGATTGTTAATTGGTTCGTCTAAAAAAATCTGATCATTTTTTTTGTTATAATGCATTTATTATTTTTTTGACAAGAATCATATGAAATTGTAAAAGTTCAGTACATATAAACTTGACGTTTTAAAAAACCTCCGTACTAAAGTTGAAGTTGATTCAACTTTTTGAGAGAGAGAAAAAAAACTGTACTAAAAATAAAAAGAATGTCAAAAATCCAATTTTTCACACAAAATACATCAGCTCATCGTTTAATTGACGAACCAGTGAATCCAGCTTTTGTTTTGCTAATCTCATCTCGTATATCACACTTTACTAAACGCATCAAAAAAAAATAATTCACAATCACGATTATTCACGATACACGACGACAGTGTGGTAGTGTGTATGGATTTCTGTTGCTGTCATTTTTTTTTCTTTTTGTTTCGTTTTTTTTACTACGTTAATATTTTCATTCGAAACGACATTTTTTTTAGACTTTTTTTTAGTGTACTATAGTCTTCTCTCTGCATTGTTGCTGCTGTGCTTTTGTTCATTTTGTATTATAGATAGGATAAGGTCTCCTCTGTCAAAAAAATATACTATACATAAAAGTGTTTCTAATTTGTTATTTTTTTTGTATCAAAAGAAAATTTTTTCCTTTTGACAATTTAAAATTTCTTTCTCTTAAATTTACAATTTATTGTTTTTGTTATATGTCATTTTTATACAGATTTTTTGCTTTTTTTTTTTTCAAGTATCGCACACGTATGAAAATTGCATATTACAAAAACAAAAAAGTAGGGAAAATAAAAGTTTTTTTTTGTACTCTTAATTTTGCAGTTTTGAAAGTGTAAAAAAAACATTAAAATTAAAAATTTATAAAATAATTTTAGATATATACATACATACATATATATATATAATTATCTGTGATATTGGATTGAAATAAAAGAAAAAAATTGAAATATTTAACTGCAAAAAAAAAACAGTTTGTTTAAAATAAAATAAAAAAGTTTTATAATTATTACAAAAAAATTAAAAAGCTGTTAACGACGATGAGTACTACGAGAGACGAAGAAAGAGAAAAAGAGATAGCATAAAGAGAAGGAAGGGGAAAAAAACTACTTGTTTTTTTTTAGTTAAAAAAAAAAAAAACAATTTACATTTTGTGCTACAAAAAAGATTTTTTTGATCGTGCAAAAAACAGAACTAAATTTAATTTTTTAAGTTATAAACAAAATTAAAAAAAATTTCAAAATTCAAAATTAAAAAAAAAAGATTTCCAAATTTTTTTTGGGACATTGAAAGTGAAGTTAGAAAAGAAAAAATATTTTATATATGAAGTGAGTGAGCGGAGCAGTCGTGTGAAAGTTTGTGGAAGAAGACGCAGAAGGCGAAGGAGAGGAGAGAAAAAGAAAAACACAAATACAAACAGTTTTATTGAATTTTTTCTTTAATTTCGTTTTGAATTTTGTTGCTGTGTTGCGTTTCATTGTTCGTTTTTTTTATTATTTTCGAAAAACAACAATCAAAATAATAAAAAAAATCAAAACAAAAAAAATTAAGACGAAGAAAAATGAACTAAAATAAGAAAAAAAGACTTCAAATTTTATTTTTTATAAATTTTTTTTTGAAAAAAAAAATTCAAAAATTTCAAAAACCTCTAATCCTTGTTGATTCAAAAAAACAAAACTAATATAATAAAAAAAGAAAAACAAAAGTGGTAAGTGGTAATTAAAAAATTTTTAAAATATTTTTTTTTTGTTTTTTTTTTTTTTTTTCAATAGTTCATCCTCCCGTTATTATAAAATACAAAGAGTTTTTTTTTTTGAATTTTTTTTAATTCTTAATTTCTGCCATTTTTATAGTTCAATTTTTTGTCGTCGTCTATTTTCAGTTTTTTTTTTTTTGTTGCATTTTCTTTTTTATTTTTTTTTAATTATATATTCGTCATTTGGTTGTCCTTTTTTTCTACGTATGCAGTTTTATTTCCTTTTTTTGTGGGCATGAAATATGTACAATTTTGTATTGTACTACCTAAGTACTGAACTATGTATCTATTAAATGTACATTCATTCATATACATACATATTTCGTATCTAACTACCTATAATTACCTATTCTACTACCCAAATATTTAACATTTATAACATATGAGTAAATATTATAAATACATAATGTATGTATGTATGTATATACGCAATAATAGTAATATGGGTAGTTCGTGCTAATAAAATATAAAATATGTTGTACTTAGTACATAACTATATTGGTTGAATGGTTATTATTACAGTTTTTGAAGAATTTTTTAAGTGTAATTTTAACAAAGATAGGAGCCTCTTTCCCAAATTTTATCTAGTCCTGATAATTTGTGTTTATTTCTGTTTGGATAACTTAGAGAATTACTGTTAAATTTGTTGGATATGTATAATGTATGTATGTATCTAAATACATAATGTTAGTTTAGAACCATTATATTAATTATAATTATTTGTAAACTATGTATAATGTGGAGTGTGTGTATCTATGTACGTATTGATTGTACCTATATCTTACCTACTTACAGATAAAAACTTAATAATTTAAAATATATATAGAGTAGAAATCTATTTATTTCAAAATTGCAGTAATATATGTACATAGGGTGTGTGTTTTAATTACAAAATTTCGAGTTTACCTAGCAGTATTATTATACTGCTAGAAATTGAATTAAAGCGTTATATATATCAATTTTTGAAATCATGAAATAAAAAATTTATAAAAATTATCAATAAGATAAAAAATGGTATAAAATACTATCTAGCTACTTATACCAACTAATATTTTTATTTATTTGTTTTTCAAATTGGTAAATTGAAATAGGTAGGTGCGTCTACCTATCCACATAACTACCTACATAACCTAAATTTTTTAAAACACTTAAATTGATAAAAAATTGATAAATTAATCTTGGATGTCAGGTTACTCTAATTTCTATCAGATGTAAAGAAATTGTGAGACATTTGGGCAAAGAAAGAGGAAATAAACCCGAATTTTGTTTAGGCTCTCCAAGGCATATATATATCTATATTTATTTGATGGAATTTCGACATGAGAATGAAATTTTTGGCGAACATAAATTTTTGGTATTATGATTAGCCAATTCATCTAAATTTTAGGCGAATGGGCATTCAAATCTATCGAATGAAAATTTTGTGTGACAAGCTTGGCGAATGAAACCAAAAAACAAAATAATACATGTGTTTTTTTTTTATTGGTAATTATAGTATTTTTAGTGAAATAATGGAAAAATCTAAACTAACTGTAAAATAAATTCATAAAATTCTACAAATTATTTTTAAAAATACTGATTAATATTAATTTACACGTGAAAAAAACGAACCAAAAACAATTTGATCATATAAATAAATTAATGGCATATAAATAAATTAATAAAACCCCGACATTGCCAAATAGGAAAATTAGATTGTTTTTGCAAAAACACAAAAACAATATACATATGTGTGGCGTTAACCTCACAAAATGATCACAATAAGAGTAATAATTTCTATTCAATTTAAAGATAAAAAAAAAGATAAAAAAAAGATATTTCAAAGTTGTAACGACTATTCCAACAACAGTGGACATCCAATTGCGGTCATGTTTTATAATCTTTCCTTTTTAACGCAGAAGATTAGAAACAAATTCTTTCCGTTCAAACCGTTTAGTAAAATCTTAAAGTTTCAATGTAAAAACGTTGTCTGAAGTTGAATTCCTGATTAAGTCCAACTTGAATGCAGTTGGTTCCAAGCAGTTTGACTGACTTATAATGATGAGTAATAATTATATAGAGTTTGATATTTTACTAAGGTGCAGTTCTAATTGTCGATTTCGTTCAGTGCACTGCACTCACATTTACTCTCTTTAATTACATATAAGTACATTCCTTTCTTGATTTGGTACATTCCATCATATAAATTATTGATTTTTAAACAATAATTTATATGATGGAATTTATGCTTTCCATCATTCGATATAGTTTTTCTTTTGCTTTTTTTCTTTATTTTTTTAATACTTAAATAATTTTGTATAAAATTAAAATTATATTTTTAGTACATTTTACTAATTTTACACTCTCGATTTTCTTTGTGTTTTTTTATTTCATTTCAGATAAAGTAAATAGATGTTTTCGTGTGCATTTAACTATTTTTTCCTATATTTTTTAATTTTCAATACTTTTATTTTAATTGGAATTCGTGAAATATGTTCGATTATTTGAAAAAAAGGGGCAAAAATTTTAAAAAATAAAAACATCAAGGAAACCTTCAAAGATAAAACGATCATGCTAATTAAGAAAAAAAAAATAAGTAAATAGGTATTTAAAGAAAAATTAAAATTAAGTATTAAAAAAAGTAAGAATAAATTTGTAACAAATTTTAATTATTGTAAATTACCTAACATGCATATTATATAATTATTTAATAATTGAATTGTAAATAAAATAAACATTTTTAGTATAATTTAACAATAAATTTAAAAAAATTACACCCATTAATAATTAAAACGAAATATTTATGAATATAAAATAATGAGAAGGAAAAAAAATAGAAAAGAGAGGAATAACAAACTTAAAGATACTGTTATATAAAATATAAAATAAATAATTAATTTACAATTAATAAATTGGGCGTAATAAAATTATTTATGTCATAACTCATTATATTTAATTATATGCTAAGAAGTAATAACTAATATAATTTGAAATATAAGCAAAATATATTTTGAATAGCATAAGCTTAATATTCATAATAAAAATTTCAAAAATTAATTAAAAATATTATTAATGATTACAACTAATAAATAATATTTTAATAATTAAGACAATATGGATAATAATATAGTAAATACAAGCAATGAAAGTGGGGATTCGTTTAATACTATTATGACTAAAAATAATAATGATAATGATAATCATAATAATAATGATAATAATAATGGTAATAATAATAGTCATGATAATAATGAAAAAAACAGAATGCAAAATTATTCTCAAAATTATAATATAAATAAGACAACAACAAAAACAATTTTAAATTCATCAACAAATTCAATACAATCATTATGTTCTTCCACAAATTCATCAATTATTGATGACGAATCAAATAATGGTAATAATAATAGCAGTAATAACAATGGAAAGAACAAAAATAATGTTAATAATTGTGGAAATTCGCGTGATTTGCACTTAATAAATACTCAAAAAAACAACGGTAATTTTTTTTACATATTTTTATTTATTTAATTACTAAAAATTTGATAAAATAAATTATTGAATTAAAATATTATACCGTAAAAGTAAATTAATTATTATATGGAATATCTTAAATTATTTAATTAAGGTATATTATATAAAAATACTTTAGTATAATTTAAAACAAATAATTTCATAATAATAAGACAATTTAATTTTATTTGGCAGATAATGAAATCTATACCGAAGAAGAATTGGATTCAAATAATTCGAATGTTAGTCAAACAACAATGTCACAAACAACGACAAAAGTATTACGATATACACCTTCAACGTTAAAAAAATTAAGGAATAATACTTTATGCCGTTATCAGCCAAAATGTATAAATAATCCTCATTTAATGTCAATTGGTGTATGGAAATTAGATCATCCAAATTATATGTCACAAAATTATCATAATAGTAATAATAATTGTATTGGACGTAATGAGAAAAATTTAGTAACGGACAAAGATAATAGAGATGATCGTATATCGTTACGAAATCATAATGATAGTCGCGTTTTAGGTCATAGTAGTAGTGGTAGTGGTGGAAATGGCGGTGGAGGAGGAAGTGCTGGATTGAGCGGAAGTGGTGGAAGTAGTGGCATTTCTAATAATAACAATCATTTAGATCGTAATGAAACGTCTTCTAGAAGTCATAGTATCATGCAACAAAAGAGTTTCAATATTGATCACCGTAGCATGTCATCATCACATTTAATGCCAGCGTTTATTAAACGAAAAATAGTTGTTAACTCTTCACAACCCGAAAGTTCTAATAATATTATTAACTCTAACTTATGTAGTAATAATACAGAAAATGGTGGTGGTAATACATTAAAGGAAAGTCGATTACGTAAAGATTTTGATGGAAATATAATATTATCACCACAACGTCGTATGGGACCGTCATCTGGTGGAAGATCATCATCGCCTAATGTAAATTCAATTGATCGTGAACATCGTAATATGGACAGAGAACGAGGTGAACGGAATTTAATTGATTCACATCACAATATATCATCCTCGTCGAATGTAAGTGCTAGCATAAGGGGAGAAAGGCGTATTGGAAGTGGACGTATACCATTTTCAAGAGATTGGGATTATAGATCAAATGAAAAGGACAATAGTGGTGATAATGATCATCGATCCGATTATAGTTGGGGTGAGAAATTACACATTTCGCTTTTTTTTTTGCTTTTGGTTTTTAGTATGTGAATGTACTTATTGTGCACATTCAGATATATATACATATAAAAAAAATTTACTTCACTTATTTTATGTAATATTTTTTTTTAGATTCCCATTATAGAAGTTCCAACCAAAATCAATCTCGTTACGATAATCGTAAAATTGAAACTAATAACAATTTAAGTCAAGATAGTTATCGTCAAAATGAACGTTATGAACGTCGTTCCCATAGAAATTCAGAATATTATGAAAACAAATTATTGAGCGGAGATACAAAAAATCAATATACAAAACGTGGCTTAATGGATAATAATGTTAAACATTCCACATCAAACGAAAAACTAACTATGAGTAATACTCAATATAATAATGAATATAATAATCATCACAGGCATTCAAGTTCAAATAATTATCAAAATCATAGTAATAGGAATCGTAATTTTGATAATCATTCAAGTTCAATGAGCGGTAACAATATGTCTTCACGTCATAATAATAATGAAGAGCCTGAATGGTTTAGTGGTGGTCCAACTTCACAGCATGATACTATAGAATTACATGGATTTGATGAAGCAATTGAAAATGATACAAAAATTAATAACAGTAACAATAATGGTAATACTAATAGCAAAAATATCAATAATAATAAAAACAACAACAATAATAATAATAGTAGTAATAACAATAATAATAATAATAATAATAACAATAATAATGATAATAATAGCAGTAATAATAATAGTAACAATTGCAACAACAATAGCAGTAACAATAACAATAGTAAAAGTAGTAATATAAACAACAGCAACAGTAATATAAACAATAGTAATGAACGTGATAATGTGCAATCCCATTTCAATAAAAACTCTAAAAACTCAATTTCTGAATTGAATCGTAATAATAACAGTAGTAATACTAACAACATTAATAACAATATCAGTAATAATAATAATAATGACGATAATAATAATAATGAACATAACAAGAGTGAGAGTATTAAAAATGATGCTATGCAAACAACAATAGCAACTGCTGGTAGTGGTCGCATACGAAAAATATCGCACTCTATTGCGAAAGAATATGGCATACCGGAGAATGAAAACTTGAGTAATAAATGTAATGCAACGGGAAACTTATCAGTTGATTCATCGAGTGATTCGACTAACAAAAATAATCTATCGAATGACATTGATCAAGCAAAAAGAAAAAATGAAAATGGTGAAATCGACGTTGATACGAAATGTATAGAATTAGGAAATATAGTCGATAATCAAAAATTATTATTCGAACAAAAAGATGGCAAAACCGGGAGTACAGAATTTAATTTTGATGTCTTCTTAAATGTTGATCCACTAAATAATATATTAGGTGTAAGTTACATGCTACGATTTGTTTTTTGAATGTAGAGAATAAGAAAGTCTGTGTATTATATTGTAACATTTTATTTTCTTTATTAAAGGGAGAATCAAAACCAAGATTTAGTCGATGGTTTAAATCCGTAGAAAGTGGAGGTTTGAGTAGTAGCCATTCATCCTTGCAGGAGGAGTTAAACAATATTGTATCAGGTTCGTGGGATATTTTATTGGCATAATTTAATAATTTTGAACTAATAAATTTAAACTAATTTTTAATATGTTATTACTATATGTTATTACTGTATGATTCCTGTAGATCCTGTAGAAAATGATAAATATCTTGTACAAATGTCACCGTCTGAAAATTCTCGACAAACGTTACTTCAATTTCTTCAACGGGGTAAATTCACTGGAAACAATACTAATAACGGTCAACAAATTAATAATTCAATGTTAATTAATGATCCAATGCAAAATCAGAACAGCTTTTTACGTCAATTGCCAAGTGGTAATTCCTCTTCTAATATTAATTACATAACTGGAGTTGATAGTAAGCAAAAAGGTAAATTTAATTTTAAGCTTAACAGGTATATTACTAATTTAAACAATAAAATGAAAATGTAATAAGAACAAAACGTATTTATTTTGTTTTATTTAGCTATTAGTGTTGAAGAATTAGAAGCAAGAATGCGAAAAGGTGGCACACATTCAAATCAATTAGGAATGGAACATAATAGTATTCAAATAGAAAATCGTGGCCAAGAAAAAATTAGTGGAATTCAAGGACAGTTGAATACAAGTTGTGATTCATCTGTTGACGTATTCAATCAAATTTTTAATAACGCAAGCATAAATTTTCAAATAATTGGTGGCCACGGGCCGATATGTCCCCCAGTATCTCATCCACCACCAACCGGCTCCTCATCGTCTTCAATTTTATCGTTGCCGTCTCCACCAAACAGTAACGATAATATGAATTTGTTAAGTGATCAAAACAAAAGTCAAGATCCAGAAGCATTTAAACGAATATTAGAACAAATAGCACCAAAACATAGTAACATTATTGGAGGTAATAATACGTTAAGGCATTCTCAGCAACAGCCACCAATAGGAACAGTATCTCAACAACACCAACAACAATATTCAATAACAAATAATAATGAAATGATGTCACAACAAATACTGCACCAACAGGTTGTTATAAGAAATCAAGAAGAAATGAAGCAAATGTTACTAAAACAACAGCAACAAAATCAACAGCAACAAAGACAACAACAGTTCTTACAACAGCAACAACAACAACAACAACAACAACAGCAGCAACAACAACAGCAGCAACAACAGCAAGTTATGAATAATATGCATAAATTCAGTCATCAATGTACAAGTAATATTACAAATACCAATAATATGACAAATCGAAGAGAAATTTTAAAAAGACCTGATCCTCAAGTTTTGCTTCAAAGTGGTGATTACAAAAAAATTTTTTTTTTTTTTTTTGTTTTTCAATTATAAATTTTAAATTTTCATATTTCTTAATCTTAATATTTCTTTAAATCTTAATATTTCTTGTAGGATTACCATCGCAACGAATTCCATCACCACGGGAAATTCAGTTACATACACAAAGTATTATACAAAATGCGTTAATTCGTAAGAAATTAGAAGAACAACAGGAAAATTTTCGTAGAAGACAAGAAATGCAACAACAGCAACAACAGCAACAACAACAGCAAATGCAACCACAACAGAAACAACAAATTAAACCACAACCAGTGTCAGATATTTTCCTATCTGAACAACAACATACATCTCAAATGCCATCTTCGTCCTCATCATCATCAACAACAACATCTTCAACCACTATTAATACGCAACAAATTCAATCAAATTCATCTACAACGCCATTACAAGTCAATTCGCCAACGCCAACATTAGCTTTTACACCCACGTCGGTTTTGCGTAAAATGACTGCTGAAAAAGAATCAACTGGTGGTAATAACACCAGCACTTTAATCAATACTTCCGAAATAGGTTCATCACAAACAAATCGATCAAAAATAGTTCAAAATTTACTTATGCAAATTCCCCAAGTACAACAACATCAACAACAACAGCAGCAGCAACAACAACAACAACAGCAACAACAACACCAACAACAACAACACCAACAACAGCAGCAACAACAACAGCAATCAAACAATTCATCTCCAAATCAACCGAGAATGATTTTAGGTGGTCAGCAACAACAGCATCAAGTTCATAGTTTTGTCAATCAATCAAATTCTGCTGGCATAATAAGCCCATTATCACCTCAATCTGTTCATCAAACTATTCGGAATCAACAACAAAATAAATGGAATAATCCCAACTCAAATTCAGTTTCATTAACTAAACCATTAGGTACTGAAATACGTTGTAATTATGTTTTTATATCTTTTTTGTTTCTATTTTCATGCCTTATAAGATTTTCATTATTTTTAAGCTATCAAATCAAAACTTTGGATGTTTTTTTTGTTATTGTATGTTTTAAAGTATGTATCACATATAATTTTAGGAAGGCCAATTTTAAAAGGTGGTCAAAGTCAACAACAACAGCAACAACAAATAGCATCGTCTATAAATATGCCCCCATCTCAAATGTCCTTTGCTTCTAAAATAGAATTTCAGCAGTTACATCAACAACAACAACAACAATTGCAACAACAAAGGAATAAAACACATATGCAACAATCTCAGCCACAACAACAATCGCAGCAGCCGCAAAACATTTTGAATATGAATCAAATACCGCAACATCATTTTCATCATCTTCAAGAAATGTTCCAAAGACAACAACGGGCTTCTGCTGGTATAATGCGTGCTCAACAGCAACCGCAACAACCGCAACAGCAACCACAACAACAAAACCAACAGCAATCTACACATGTTCATGTTCCATTTGGCGGGGGTGGTAATATAACTAATAATAATATTGGCAATAAAACTCTTCGGCAATTTTATCCCCACATGATTGTTGGAGGACGCCAAAGTAAGTAAATTCGAAATTTTATATATATGTTAATTTTAATACGTTATTTTAATACAATTTGTTTAATTTAAAAAATATTTATACAAAATAAAAATTTATCCTATACGTATTTAATTTTGTGTTCTTTTTTTCTTTAAGATGATAGTTTTAATTCCCAAAATGTAAATAATTCCCAACAACAACCACCACAACAGCAACAACAGCAGCAACAAACACAACAACAGCAACATCAACAACAACAGCAGCAACAAAAACAACAAAAACAGCAACTCCAGCAACAGCAATCTCAAAATAATGTAAATGCGATTAATTTTCAACGAGATGGTGGTTTGTCACCGACAAGTAATCAGTTAGCTAGATGGTTTTCACCAGAACTTTTAGCACGTGCATCAGCAGGTAAACTTCCTTCATTAAATATGGGTCAAGCATTAAGTTTAGAAGAATTCGAAAGAAGTATTCAGCATTCTTCAACAACTGTCCTTAATTAAATAAAAAAAAATTTAATCACAAAATAGGAAAACAAAAGCTATAAATGATAATTTGAATAAATGAAATATTAATTTTGTCTATACATAAATCTATGTATAATATATATTTATATATATATATATCATATATATATATCCGTTATATATATATATATCTATATATATATATCTATATATATATATATCTATATATATATATATCATATATATATCCGTTATATATATATATATATATATATATATACATATATATATATATATATGTATATATATATTATATTTACATAAATGAATATATAAATACATATTAATGTAATTAATATACATGTAAATATATTATGTTGTATAAATATACCCATATACATCATATTACAATATACTTTGTAAAAAAATGAATCAGATATGTAAATGTTAAATATATATGAATACCCTGACTTTAGAATTGCAATAACACTGCATTAATGTTCAATTCAGTAATTATGATTCACAAGCTGAATTGTGCGTTAACAAAGTATATTAGTGTAATTTCGAAATCAGAAAAAGTTTTTATTTGGATGTCTTGAGATTTTTAATCAGGATGCTCTGTAGGACATTTAGGGTAACAAAACAATATCAAAACTAAAAAATAGTTTGAGATTTTTCTTTCTTTTCTTGAAAAGGGTGTAAAATTAATTATAGGCAACTAATAGACCCCCTATTCTATTAGTTGACGTAAACCAGAAAATAAATTTATAATAAAAAATTACAAAGTTTAATTAAAAGCCATATTTTAACTGGTTTTTTTGAAAGTGGTATAAGTCCATTTCTTTACATATTCAGATATTTATGGGCTTGCGTTTGAATCAATTTAAATATCCTTGCCATAATAACATAATTTGTTAGTTTTATGTCTATATAGAACTCTGTTGAAATTTTGATTGTAAATAGTGGAGAGAAGTTGTCTACAAATCAGTAAAATTACCATTAACTTAGCCTTTTTAACAAGTGGACTTATATCACTTTCAAAAAAACCAGTTCAATTGTAACATCTCTTGTTTTTTATTGTTATAAAATTAATATAAAAACACTTAAATTAAAATCTAAAATCTGATAAAATATTTTTATATTCGTTCTTTATTTTGAATTTTATTTTCTTCGCATGGCTTTTTTTTTAGTCTTTTGCAACAAAAGACTTAAAAAATATGTTTTTTTTATATTTAAAATTTTATATAGAATATGTATTAAACTTTTATTTTTACTATATAATTTTTTAAATGTTTCAATTTTATGTTTTAAAAATTTTTTGTATACACATATATATTAATGATTTTAATTGGCATTAATTTCCAAGATTTTAATAGAACAGCAATAATACACAATTTGACAATTCACACTTATAAGCTGAATTCTGTATTAATATTTTATTACGTCATTTTGAAGTCAAGGAACTTTTTTATGATTTTTCTATTGACCACAAAACATATATATTAATATATTTTTACATATATTTTTTTAATTATTTAATATATTTTTACATATATTACGTTATTTATTTTGAACTTTATTTTCTTCGCATGGCTTTTTTTTAGTCTTTTGCACAACAAAAGACTTAAAAAATATGTTTTTTTAAATTTTTAAAATTTTATATAGAATATGTATTAAACTTTTCTTTTTACTATATAATTTTTTAAAGGTTTCAATTTTATGTTTTAAACAATTTTTGTATATACATATATATTAATGATTTTAATTGGCATTAATTTCCAAGATTTTAATAGAACAGCAATAATACACAATTTGACAATTCACACTTATAAGCTGAATTCTGTATTAATATTTTATTACGTCATTTTGAAGTCAAGGAACTTTTTTATGATTTTTCTATTGACCACAAAACATATATATTAATATATTTTTACATATATTTTTTTAATTATTTAATATATTTTTACATATATTACGTTATTTATTTTGAACTTTATTTTCTTCGCATGGCTTTTTTTTAGTCTTTTGCACAACAAAAGACTTAAAAAATATGTTTTTTTAAATTTTTAAAATTTTATATAGAATATGTATTAAACTTTTCTTTTTACTATATAATTTTTTAAAGGTTTCAATTTTATGTTTTAAACAATTTTTGTATATACATATATATTAATGATTTTAATTGGCATTAATAAGCTGAATTCTGTATTAATATTTTATTTCGTCATTTTGGTAGTCAATGAACTTTTTTATGATTTTTCTATTGACCACAAAACGTATATATATTAATATATTTTTACATATATTATATATAGATATATGATTATATTACAGATGGCAACATGTTGTTATTATAAGAGGTACTACCACTTGTCAACTGTTGCTAATGGTATTTTCATGTAAAACAAAAAGTTGAAAGAAATTACGTTGAGCGAATGAAAAACTGATGATGTCCGAAATAATGTCGGAATAAAATCTGTACGCTAAACGAAAAAACATAAAAAGTAGTTACGTTAAGCGACGGATATAATACTTCTTAAGACATCCTATTATTATCTATGACTTGCAAATTCCAGTAACATTCAGCCCTATCATGAATTTCGTTCGTAGCTCTAAAATCCGAAAAATTACGAATATCATAATTTTAATCAATTACGAATTACTAAAATTCTGCTCCAAATATTCGTAATGGAATAATAACAAATTACGTTTGTAGTAAAAATTACCCTCGAAAGTCTACGAAAGAAATAATCACTCGTAACAAGCAATTTAAAGAGAATGGTCGTATTAAATTACTAAATTTTGAATTTTTTTGTTTGATTTACCCAAACGCAGCTACCATGAAAGGAAATGAACTCTATTACGAATATTTGTAGCAGAATTTCAGTAATTTGTAATTGACAATATAATATTCGCAACTTTCCAAATTTCAGAGCTACGAACGAATTTATCATGGGGTTGTGTATTGGTATAATACAATTTCAGCCCCAATTGCTGAGTTCTCTATCAATACCATAATTACTGAAATTTTGAAATCAAGGTATTTTATATTTATATATAATATACATATGTTTACATTTTATATTTATACATATATATGTACATATGTGTAGTACTGTGTAAAATAATTTTAGACTGAACTTTGTAATTTGTTTGTTTTTTTTTTAAGTTCTTAGAAGAAAAGAAATCTTCCAATTCAATGATTTTTTTTTTGTAAAACTTTCATTCATTGGTCACTCGATTCAAATGTTTAAATTTTAACTATAGATATTAGAATATAAAGAAATAAAATAAAATTATGAGTTTATTGTATCATATTTGTAACTATTATTATTATTATAATTATTATTATTATTATTATTATTAAAATATCGAAACGTCAATAAATTAAAAAAAAATAAAATGAAATGAAATAAAAAATATTAAATTTAGTGAAATAATTGATCTTTTAACATAAAATAAGAAAGAATAAGTGCCCTTAGAATGAAATTTTTTTAATTTCGATTCATGCGACTGAATAAGGAGGAATTCTAAAATTGTAATTGTATTATTGCTCTTGATTGAAATTCAGTTAGTGAGTTGAAAATGTTTATTTGTGCGTTAATACAATAATACATTACTTTTAAAAAATACGGACATTTCATTTTTATAAAAACAAATAATACGTTATCAAGCAAATTTACTATTTTTAATTTTCCGAAACTTCCTATTGCTCATGTTCGCTTGTTACTTTGAGTAAAATCAAAATTCTCAAAAGTTATCAAAATGGAGCATCTTTTCAAATAAAACAGAAGCTGAGCGGGAATACCAGGAAGTTTCGCCATACCATTTTCGTTTATTACTTTCAGTAAAATTAAAATTGTTAAAAATAATCAAAATGAAATATCTTTCAAACAAAATACCAGGCCAGAAGAAATAATAGGAAGCAAATTTATTATTTTTAATTTTCGCAAAATTATTTTCTATTGTTTATGTTCGCCTGTTACTTTCAGTAAAATTAAAATTCTTAAAAATAATCAAAATGAAATATTTTTTAAATAAAATACGAGGCCAGAAGAAATAATAGGAAGCAAATTTATTATTTTTAATTTTCGCAAATTTATTTTCTATTGTTTATGTTCGCCTGTTACTTTCAGTAAAATTAAAATTCTTAAAAATAGTCAAGAATAAAATATTTTTCAAATAAAATACCAGGCCAGAAGAAATAATAGGAAGCAAATTTATTATTTTTAATTTTCGCAAAATTATTTTCTATTGTTTATGTGCGCCTGTTACTTTCAGTAAAATTAAAATTCTTAAAAATAATCAAAATGAAATATTTTTCAAATAAAATACCAGGCCAGAAGAAATAATAGGAAGCAAATTTATTATTTTTAAATTTCCTAAATTTATTTTCTATTGTTTATGTTCGCCTGTTACTTTCAGTAAAATTAAAATTCTTAAAAATCATCAAAATAAAATATTTTTCAAATAAAATACCAGGCCAGAAGAAATAATAGGAAGCAAATTTATTATTTTTAAATTTCGGAAATTTATTTTCTATTGTTTATGTTCGCCTGTTACTTTCAGTAAAATTAAAATTCTTAAAAATCATCAAAATGAAATATTTTTCAAATAAAATACCAGACCAGAAGAAATAATAGGAAGCAAATTTATTATTTTTAAATTTCGGAAATTTATTTTCTATTGTTTATGTTCGCCTGTTACTTTCAGTAAAATTAAAATTCTTAAAAATAATCAAAATGAAATATTTTTCAAATAAAATACCAGGCCAGAAGAAATAATAGGAAGCAAATTTATTATTTTTAAATTTCGGAAATTTATTTTCTATTGTTTATGTTCGCCTGTTACTTTCAGTAAAATTAAAATTCTTAAAAATAGTCAAAATGAAATATTTTTCAAATAAAATACCAGGCCAGAAGAAATCATAGGAAGCAAATTTATTATTTTTAATTTTCGGAAGTTTATTTTGTATTGTTTATGTTCGCCTGATACTTTCAATAAAATTAAAATTCTTAAAAATAATCAAAATGAAATACTTTTCAAATAAAATACCGGGCCAGAAGAAATCATAGGAAGCAAATTTATTATTTTTAATTTTCGCAAATTTATTTTCTATTGTTTATGTTCGCCTGTTACTTTCAGTAAAATTAAAATTCTTAAAAATAATCAAAATGAAATA